CTTTATTTTCCTTTTTTTTTTTTTTTGCCATTCAAGGTGCCTCAACTCTGGGCCTGGGCTCTGTCCCTCAGCTCTTTACCTCAAGGCTAGTGCTCTACCACTTGAGCCACAGCACCACTTCCAGCGGTTTCTGCTTATGTGGTGCTGAGGAATCGAACCCAGGACCTCATACATGCAAGGCAAGCACTCTACCACTGAGCCACTTTTCAAGCCCATGAACTGCTTTTTTAATACAAAAGTATCATAGGAATCCATTGTAATTTGTGTTCTACCTCATTCATTTACATATTTAAACACCGTGGATAACATGTATGATGTAACTCAGTAATTTTCCCCCAAAGTTAAAGAGAAAAATGTATATAGAATATATTTCTTATGTTATACTACTTCAATAATGGATGTCAAATGGCACATTTCACTCTACCCATTGCACACATATGCAATGATTAGCAATTTGCCATTTAAAATGCTTTGTCCAAAGGGACATGAGTAAAGATGAGGTAAACCCAGGTTTGAAAAGTCCCTAACGTTCATTTCCCTAAACAGTCATGTGAAGAACCTTGGCCATCCTAAAGATACAACATAAAATAATCGATATAGGCGTGACACACCTGAAGATAAGTAACACCTACAGAGCATACAAACTTGGGTAAGACATATTACCTCAAGTTTTCTTCTGTGAATTTTCTTTTTAGGCCACATGTCCCAGACCAACACTTTCTGTACAACCAAGCACAACCAACCAATTAGAGCTAGCATTAGCAAATCCATAGATGGCACATTTAATGTAAGTTTGCATGATTACATACTAAAAATCACAGTGTTAACAGGCTGAATAAATTAGCAAAAACAGGGTTAGGGATTACTACATGAATAGATACTTTCAGTCATAACAATTACCCCACCATCCCAAAGCACAGCCTCAGGTACCCTCTCATAACTATGCTCTGGCTTATTCCTCAATCCAGCTCATCAGGCCTCCTAGAAATTAGTTTAATCTTCCAACAACACAAAGTGATTGAGAGTGGTGTAGGAAAGAGTTCCACGTGAATCTGGTGTTCAGGGAAGTAGCAACTATTTTTGCATAAGGCAAAGGAAGCTAGCAACATCTTCCCCTTCCTTGCTTTTCTGCTTCTTCCCTTTAGGGCTTCTCAGAATTGACAAGGTCTGTTCATTTAGGATAGAGATTCCTATTCATAGGGTGCTCTGCTTCAAACATTGCTAGGCTTCATTCCTAAAAATACAGGACCAGCACTCAATACTCCAATATCCAGTGTACAACTGTCTCTAGAAACAGTGTCGAATACAAACACTTGTGAACTCAAGCCAGGAGATTAAAAACTCAAGCCAAATAGATTAAAATATCTCTAGGAGAAAAATCACAGAAGCCCCAAATACAACTTCAATGTAAGAGAACTCAAGGCAGGCACACACATCACAATTTCACTAGAATTCTACCTGTACTCCTCTTACACCTAGGCAAAGGAAATAAAGTCATATGGGTTAATAGAAGAATCCCTTGGTCTTGGAGTACAAATGCACAATTCTTGGGCTCTCCTGGTCTGGACAATCACCCAGCTTGCTCTCATACATTTGAACCTCAAGCAAATTATCAACTCCATACTGGAGAAAAGCATGGAGAGGGAAGTAGGCGCTTTGGTTCAAGTATCAAGCTCTCCCTCTGAGCTGAGGAGCTCAGGAATGCTGCTTGCAGGCCCAGAGTTCACCCCCCACCAAACAAACAGAAACAGAAAAACAAAGAGAAACCCGTGGAGGGGAGATTCCCCAGCAATCACACAATTCCTACCTGACATCAGTTCCAAAGCCTGAGATTCCTTCAAGTTACAGCTCCCAAGCTCCATTGCACAGAGCTGGGCGCCAGCCTCCTGGCTCCCACCTGTGGAAGGCCAAACTGTATTTCTGCGCACTTCCAGCAGCCAGGTAAAGGAAAAGAATCCGGAAGACGCAGACTAAAACGCAGGTGGTGGGCGGGGAGACGCATGCGCAAAAGCATCTTCTGCCCCACCTCCACCCTCCAAAAAACAAAAACAACCCAGGACTTTCAAAGAAAATAGCCTCCGGGAGACTACAATTCCCACAATGCTCGGTGCCACCCTCCTACTTACTTGGGAACAAGTGTGCTTGTGTGCATTGGGACTTTTCTCTCCCTGCTGTGGGAGTTAAGGTGTTTCTTGAAAACCACTGTTTCCTCTTGAAATACATAAGACCAACCAGAAAATGGATATATATAGGGAGAATTGGCTACATTGGCTTTTCGATTCTTAGTTCTAATAATGAAATTAAGGTTATGAGACGGCGTTGCTTATACCTTTCTGTTTATTCAATGCCTGCCTTCTACTGAATGTAAATTATATCTCTGTTTTGTCTTAAATTTTTTTAATACATCTCCTCTTACTTTACAAAGGTATTCACAACCACTAAACTTATACCTGGGTCATTTCCCATTGCTGTAATATATACAGTGGCATAAAATAGTGAGATTGTTATGTAAATATGCAGCATAATACTTCTGGTGATTTGGATTTCACAAAATCTAACAATTAATTTTCCAGAAACTCCCCAATTCTATCTATTAAATCAAATGAGTTTTTGTTTTTGTTTTATAATTTTGCATTTCATTTAAGGATTTTATGTTTTGTTTTATTGTTGGTCCTATGTCTTGAACTCAGAGCTTGTGCACTGTCTGTGAGCATTTGTTATGCTCTATTTGCATTTCCTTTAAGAATTTCTTCAGGTTACTAGTGAAAATTTCCCAAACAGGGATTCTTATGAACAAGGCACATCATCTCCATTTCCCTTCAAAGAGATAGTGGTTAGGGGGGTCAGGATGAATGCAGGAGAGATAGAAGAGTGAAGTTTATGCTAGGCTATGTTGATGTGAAGCTTAATCATTTGCAAACCAGTATGCTTTTGTCTTTCCATTTTGCATGTGAAAATCTCTTTAGAATTCTTACCTCTTCTCTGATCCTAACAGTTCCTCTCAGTAGCTTTAGGCTACACATCTAGGGGACCTCAGACTTGTCTTCTCAGACCTTAACCATTAAAGTATGCAGTAAATCTTTGTCTCCTGCCACAATCCCATCAGAGCACAAGCAAGGCTCTGAGAGCCAGTTGGATGATAATTAAGGAGACAGAGAGATGGCTGATGGCACAATTCTGCTATAAGTCTCAAATGCTTGTGTAATATTGGCCTAGACCCCACTGTGCCCAAAAGTGCAAACAGCACACATCTTTCCTCATTCTATTTCAATACATCTTTTCCACCCAAGCCTCCTGTCAGTTAAAGCCCCAGGCCAAAAAACTAGAACACACACATCCTCAAACCAAGAAAGGGCAAGGACTTGCAGTCCTGAGGGTGGGAGACAATGGCCCTGAAGCCTTTGCTCACATTTTGTCTACTCCTGGCAGGCACCCCAGGGTCTGCAACAGTCTCCCTCTCTCTTATCAGAGAACCTACCCTTGTCTCTTACATGTTTATTGTGATTTTTTTGTAATCCCTTCCATAAAAAATAATTGGGAAAGACTGGATTGGAAACTTTCATATATGAATTTTAGTTCTCCAATGTATGGGTTCTCCATGTCTCTATTGTGGACCAGAAATATTCCTCATGAAAATGAGAATCAAAGAGCATATTTGAATGTATAGACTTCAACTTAAAAGCACCTCTAACAATATAAAGAAAAAATAATTTCATTCTTTAAAACTAAATTCCTGGGAAGTGGCACTGTGGCTCAAGTAGTAGATCGCTCTCCTTGAGCTGAAGAGCTGACAGACAAGTGCTCAGGCCCAGAGTTCAAGCCCCAGGACCAAAAAAAAAAAAAAATCCTCCCTAAAACTAAATTCCTGAGACACAAAGAGATAAGGATCAGGAAAAATCTGGGGTGCTCCCAAGAATACCTGTGAAATGCAGTTTTCTTTTCTTTTTCTTTTTTGGGGGGGGCAAGGGTCCAGTCATAGGGCCTGAACTCTGGACCTGGGTGCTGTCCCTCAGCTCTTCAGCTCAAGGCTGGCGCTCCACCACTTGAGCCACAGCGCCACTTCCGGCTTTTTTTTTTTTTATCATGTGGTGCTGAGGAATCAAAACCAGGGCCTCATGCATGCAAGGCAAGCACTCAACCACTGAACCACCATCCCATCCCTGAAATATAGTTTTCATTGTTCAAGCCTACATTTGTGATGAATTTCTTTATTCCTTTATCCTTTTGTTTTGTTTGGTTTGGTTTTTGGTCATGCCACTTGAACTGTGAGCCTAGGAACCATCTCTCAGCCCTTCATCTCAAGTCAAGTGCTCTACATTTAGAGCTAAAGCACCAATTCTGGTTTTCTGGTTTTTATTGGAGATAAGTGTCTCACAGACAATGCTGGCCAGGCTGACTTTGGACTGCAATCCTCAAGTTTCAGCCTTTGGAATCGCTAGGATTAAAGACATGAGGTACCAGCACCCAGCTTGCATTTCTTCTCTTTTATGTCCCAGCCTTGGGGCTTGAACTCAGTGCATGGACACTGTCCCAAAATTCTTGCTCCACATTAGCACCCTAGTACTGGAGCAACAATTCCACATTCAGCTTTTTCTATGTATGTGGTACTGAGGACTTGAACCAGGGCTTCATGCATGTTAGGTAAGCACTCTACCACTGTTGCGGGACAGCCACAACACAAACAGTGCTCTGGAAGGGCAATGGGATGATAATGGAACAGACTGAGAGAAGGCCAATGATGAATCTCTCTTTATTCCAGCAATAACCTTAGCTATAGACACTTTCTAGATCTGTCCAGTGCTTGCATCACATTGTTCTAGGACTCACTGAGTCAACAAGTGCATACCATATGCATCTTTCCTCATTCTAGTTCAACCTTTGTCCACCAAACTCCTAGAGGTAAGCCCCCAGGCCCAGACTCTAAAAGGAACACTCCATCCAACAAAAAGTGAAGTACATATAGCACTGAAGGTTGGAGTCCGTGGTTGTGGATCTTTTGCTCACCCCTTGCCAACTCCTGGCACCTCAGGGTCTGCACCATTTCCCCCTTTATCATTTTGTAAATTAAGCAAGTGTCTATCAGCCTGAACCTGGAAAAAGCAGCAGAATGGAAGAAAAAAGATATACCAAAACAAGAAACAGGAAAATGCCTAAGAAATAGCAAACCCTCCCCCACAGTGTAACCCCCGCTTTCACTATATTTGATGTCAGTATAACATGTGGAGGAGATGGGGACAAACAAGTCGTTTAAGGATTCAGGTGGACCTGATGCAACAATGAGAAGTACAAAGTGACATGTCAAAACCAGCTTTACAATGTCGGTGTGGGGGGGTGAGGGGGGGTATGATTGGGTGGGGGGAGGGGGGAGGCTGGGAAGGGAGGTGAAGGGTAAACAAAGGAGGAGGCTGCAATGCTTGGTAAGAAATGTATGCATTATCCTGCCCATATAATTGTAACCCCTCTGTACAGTATGTTCTCAAATAAAATATAATAAAATTAAAAAAAAAAAGAAATAGCAAAAAGAGTGCTATTTCCCAAGGTGAATCCCTGCAGGTAATGGAGAAGTGATACAGCTAAGCCTGCGTGGTGGAGTGACCAATACCAGATATCTGACGCTGAAGCTGCGTAATGTCTAAGTTCAAATTATCAGAGGGCCAGATTCCTCAAATATGTCACTGGATATTGGTCCAAATCATATTTCCATCATATTCAAGAGGGAAAACACAGATGTACTGACAATTAGCATGACACATCATTTTAACTGGGTCTTTAGCAGGTCTATGTGATTATCAACATACATCATTGCTGTTTCTAAATCATAAAACATATCACAATCATTTTATCCATTCCTATATGCATCCCAAGGTACCAGAAATGTTTCAAACTAAAGTATTAACATGTTGTGCTGTATATATTGTTTCTGCAAGGATGATAGGAGAAGCAGGAGTGCTAGCAAGAATAGTCAGGGTAGCAATAATGAGGGCAACCAATATTCCCCAAAATCTGCAGCAATGGCTAAGAGTCCTCTAAACCTCAATAGCAAACAGAGACCCAAACTTATTATACCATGGTTCTATCAACTGACATGCAATGTAAGTTAAGGGGATTGCACAGTAAGCTAGGATTACTCATGCAGTTAGTGAGAACATAATTTTTCCTGCAAAAGGCATTAAACACCACCCCACCCTTGAAAACCATACCCAGCCCAACTACTAGCATGTATGGATACATAACACAAGCTTGCACAGTAAATGATACAAAACCATGAAACAGGACAGGTCTCTGAAACAGAGGTATGGGATGGTCAGAGGCATTAGTTCAAATAGGCCTCATGGCAGCAGTCAGGCTCAAGTTGTCAGGGTGAGCTTGTCCACACAAACTGACAAACATGGGAGCCAGCAAGGTACCACTGATCATGTCACTCCTCTGAGACCAGTCCTACCTTACATACTGGGAGACTCCTACCACCAGACCAGTGGACAAGATGTGAAATCCACAGGCCCTCCAGGACGATGGATCATCACAACCATGGGAATCGCTGGGCATAGTGGAACCCAAGAGGGATGCACCACATCTCCTGCCAAAGAATTTTTGCAAGTGTTATGCTTAAGCTCCATCTTTTTCCATTGTTTCACCTTTTCTTTCAAAGGAAGTCAGACCCATAATCTATCCCTGAATACCTTACATATTTTTACCTTCTACCTCAGGATCGGCAATAGTCAATAACTGTGATCAATGAAGTAAGAGGATATAATATTTGTATAATAATGAGACACGTCTGTGAGCAATGAACAATTCAAACGTAATGTAGTAAGTAAATTCTATTTATATTAGTACAATAAACATGATACATAGAAATGAATGTTTGAAAAATGTAACCAAGAACAATGACAACTATGGGACACAGCTAGTCTAGGAAGCACCCATTTTTACCTGATCCTTATGTCCTTGCCTCTCAGGAACTTACTTTTAACTTTTACAGAAAGAAAGAATTCTACCTTTGAAAAGAGAACTGCACTTTGGACCCACCTCAATAGCTTTTGCTGCCTGCTCCTTTGTTTCAAACTCCACAAACCCAAATCCTTTTGGATCTCCAGTAGACTTATAATGTGGTATACTTATGTAAACAACGTTGCCACATTTCCCAAATACTCTTTCAATCCAGCTGTGATTAACATTTTTGGGAAGTAATTCCTGTAACAAATATTAATAAATTCAAAATATTTTGTCTTTAACGATGAATAAAGGCTTGTCTCTTAAAACTTTCCATTAAATGTACTTGCCACATAAAAAAAAAGAAAGAATTCTTTTTCCTTCATATTTTATAGGTGCTCCAATGTTGCCATCTATACATCCAAATGTGCCTCATGATCTCCATTTTCATGAGGAATAGCTAAGGTCCACTAAAAGAGGGATGGAAAACCCTTACACTGGAGGACAGAATATCAGGCATGAAAATTTCCTACACAATCCTTCCCAATCATGATGTGGGGAAAGGATCATCAACAATCACAACAAACCCTTAGGAGACAAGCTTAGGATGTCGGATATGAGGGAGGGAGGCAAAAGATTTATTCCACAGTGTAATGGATACAGTCTGGGAAGACAAGTCTGAGGACCCCTAGATATGTAGCCTAGACTTGCTGACAGGAACTTCTAGGGTCAGAGAAGAGGTAGAAAATCAAAACAAAATAGGATATGCAAAACAGAAAAGTAAAAACAGACTGGATTGGAGCAAGTAATGAAACTTCACATGAACCTGGACCTGCCCTGAACTCTACCTCCTCCCACATTCATCCTGATCTTCCCAGACAACCATTTTTTTTTAACAGTCTTGGAGGAGGAGTACCATTTTCTAAGAAACCCCTGAGAGGAAATTTTTCACTACTTCCCTGAAGCAATTAATAAAAGGAAGACAAGTACATTACAGCAAATGCTCACAGACAGTGCCCAAGTTCTGAGTTCAAGCCACAGGACCAACAACAAAATGAGAGATTTTCTTTATAAGGAAAGGCAAATTTCAGACACAAATAACCAAACACTCCTTAAAATTTCATAGATAGAATTTGGGAGTTTCTGGGAAAGTAATGAGTAGAATTTGACAAATCAATTTAATTCAAAGATTATAAAGTATATCTGTTTTTAAATTCTGTTATTTCATTCCAGAACATATATTAGAACAGGGGAAGATGATGCCAGAATCATTCTTTTTACTCTCTGCACGAACTTTTTTTTTTTGGTCGATCTTGTGGCTTGAAACCAGCCTGAGCACTGTCCCTGCGTTTTTCAGTTCAAGTGAGCTCTCTACCACTTGAGCCACAAGCCACTTCCAATTTTTTGGTGGTTAGTTGGAGATAAGGCTTATGAAATTTCCTGCTCAGGCTGGCTTTGAACGGGGATCCTCATATCTCAGCTTCCTGAGTACCTAGCATTACAGGCATGAGCCATTGGTACCCAGCTGCAAATACCTTTGTAAAGTGAGAGGGGAGATATTCAAAACTTTAAGAAGAACCAGAGACATAATTTACATTCAGCAGAACGTTCTTTTTGAACAAAAACAAAAATAAAATCTATGTAGATTCATAACCTCAATTATATTAAAAGAACTAAGAATTAAAAAGCCAAATTATACAATGCTTCTAATATATTTGTGTTTTTAATTGGTCTCACAATATTTATGTTGGTAAACTGAATTTTCAAGAAGAAACTCACCTAAGTTCCTTCAGCTGGGAGAGAAAGGTTCCCATGCATCCTTGCACACTTAGGACCAAGTGTCTTGTGCAAGTCAAAACCCTGTAACAAGCCCACTTCCTCTAGGTGAATTGTGCATTGCATTCTGGGAATTGTAGTTTCTGTCGGGGCATAGATCCTTTGAAAGTGTGTGGGGGGAAGGGGGGTGGGGGGGCAGATGTGCCAATGCCTCCTTGTCCACTGTTTGTGTTTTTAGTTTACAAATTCGGGTTACTTTGCTTTTGTCTTGCTGCTGGAGGTGCTCTGAAGTACAGCTTTGCACACCATAGTCAGAGCCAAGAGGTAGAAGCCCAGATTCTCTTTTTCAGAGGAACTTGAGAGCTGAAACATGAAGGGATCTGAGGCTCCTAGCAAGAGTCTGCCCTTGCCATTTTTCCCCAGTCTGGAGTGGATGATATTTTAGGGCTCATAGGTTTGTGCTGCCATTAGCACTTGTTCCTCCAGGTGCCAGAAAGTGGCTCACAAACCTCTGATTTTCAGACAAGGAGAGTCAGGAGTTGTGCGTTTATATTCCTGAACCTAGAGATTCTGGTACTCACCCAGGTGACTTTATTAACTTGCTTTTTGTGAATTGAAGCCAATGAATGGTAAACATTCCTTGAAAATGTCTTATATAAAAATACTGATCCTCTTTTCACCATCTGAATTTCCTATGGCTTTTGAAACTTTCAAAATGCTGCTTGCACAGACACACTCCAATTGATGGGTCTGTTCTGACAAATTACAATTTCTCTACTAATTTAATTAGCCTATTTTACATCACTTAAAACGAAAGAGACTGGCTGGGCAGGTGGTTCAGTGGTAGAGTGCTTGCCTTGCATGAATGAAGCCCTGGTTTGATTCCTCAGAACCAAATAAGCAGAAAAAGCCAGCAGCGTACTGTGGCTCAAGTAGTAGAGTGCTAGCTTTGAGCTGAAGGTCAGAGGGACAGTGCCCAGGCTCAGAGTTCAGGCCCCACACCGACAAAAAAAAATGAGAGCGATTTCCTATACATGTACACCAAAAACAATTGTGAAAATATAATTTGAATACAATATAATGCCCTTGATATGTGTCTGCCTGTCCTGATTCTTGAACTCAAGGTCTGGAAACTGACCTTGAAATTATTCCATTCAATGATAATGTTCTACCACTTAAGCCACATTTGCACTTCCCACTACTTTGGTAGAGTATTGGACATAAGTCTCTCAGACTTCCATATCCCCCTGGCTTCAATCTGTGATCCTTGTAGGGTTCCTTCATGTCCTTCCCAGGGGACCACAAGCAGGCACAGGAGAAAGATGAGTATAAGGTTTATTAGAAGGATCATATTTCCTAGGACAGGGAGCACAAGCATTTGTCCCTCTTCAGGTTGCAACAGGATCTGGGGGGCAGGAAGTGAGTTAAGTACATGCTCAGGTGAGTCTGAGATGAGAGAGGGGGTGGCCAGCTGTAGGGAGGGAACTTTAGGTCTGGGAGGAGCTCAGGTCTGGGTGGAGCTGAGGAGTAAAGGTGAGGATAATACTAACTTTCCTCAGATCTCAGCCTTCTGAATACCTAAGCTTCCAGCTATTAGACATGATAGCACAGTTACAATGCTCTTTTTTAAATTCAGATTATATTCTAATGCAATAATATGAAATAGAAAACTTGAAATTTTCAAGGCAGGATGTTCAGTCACTAAGGTGTATGAGGACAGTCCAAATCCCAAAACACACAGAAAATGCCCCCACCTTGAAATCTGTAACACTCCTGATCTTAAGTATTGTGAATGTGAACACTTAGTCTATAATAAATTCTTTTAAGTTTTTCAAAGTAAGAAAACATTCTTGTGACAATAAAACCCAGTAGGAATGTGCAAGTATTGCTTTTAAAGGATTCATAGTGTCTTTCTGAGCAAAAACAACCTCAATGATGTATACAGAATAGATTTTCACTTTTTGTATATGTCATTGTAAAGGTCATGTATTTTATATTAACAATTACCTTTCTAAGTAATTGTAAAAACTACATCACTACTCGATAACAGAATATCCTGTGTAATCAACCAATAAGTACAAGCAAAAGCACATAGGGACATAATTTGTTGGTTTTCATTTTGATGGATCTACATTTTGGGGTGTTGTATCTTTTAATATTGTGTAGTAACACATAATACTTCAATCTACTGGTGCCTTTGCTGGGGATGGTTGACTGGGATTTTGTCACTCCTCTGACCAGCATTTTATGTTGCATCTTTATTAGGCCCTGTATCTCCAGCAGAATGGACATGATTCTTAATATGACTACTTAGGAAAGTGAGGGACTTCTCAATCTGTGTTTATATCATCAGTACTGATGTACTTTGGCCAAAGCAGGTTCAAACTCAAATTGCAAGTCATTGTACCAAGGTATGCTAATTATTTGCATAAAGGGTAATGTGCCATATGACAACCATTACTGAAATATTATAAAACAAAAAATATGTGTTGTATATATTTTATCTCAATAACTTTGTGTGAAAATACTGTTCATAACATACATGTGTTTGAAGATGTAAATAAATGAGGTAGAGTACAAATAATCAATGGGGTCCTAAGATATCTTTACATTAATAGAAAAATAGTTTATATATCCCTAGATGTATTTCAGTGATAATTACTTTTAGTGAACAGGTGGCATGTTTTCCTTTTTGGGGTTCAATTTTTCAACAATCTTTTGTAGGAGCTTTAGTTTTTTTTTTCTGTTTTTCTTTTTTTGGGGGAGGGTCTGGTCCTGGGGCCTGAACTCTGGGCCTGGGCCCTGTACCTTAGCTCTTCAGCTGAAGTCTAGCACTCTACTACTTGAGCCACAGTGCCACTTGCAGCTTATTTCTTTTTGCTTATGTGGTGCTGAGGAATCGAACCCAGGGCCTCAGGCATACAAGGCAAGTGCTGTACCACTGAACCACCTTCCCAGCCCCCATGCATATGTCTTTAGTGGACACTTTAATGCTCTTTTTAAGACAGGAATGATTCTTCTCCCATAGGAAGGCTTTTCCAGCCCACATATCATGTTTTGAGCAGGCACATCTAGGGAAAAATCCCGCAGGTTCTTTTCTGACTCCCTTATTTGCCTTCGCTACTAGCCATGGTTCCAGAATCTTTATTCATTGTCAACAGCAAGAAAGAATGAAAGGATCTCTAGTGAGATTCTTTTATTTCTCACTTTGTTTGACATTCCATTTTATGAACCTAAGGGTGTCCAAGATTGAACAAAAGAAAAGAAAAAAGAATCAGCTTCAGGAACATGTTTCTAAAAAAGCTAAAGATGTAGCTGGACACCAGTGGCTCACACCTGTAATCCTAGCTACTCAGGAGGCTGGGAACTGAGGATCAGGGTTCAGAGCCAGCCCAGGCAGGAAAGTCTGTGAGACTGTTATCTCCAATAAACCACTAGAAAACCAGAAGTGGTGCTGTGGCTCAAGCAATAGAGCGCTCGCCTTG